ACAGATGATCCATTAGGTAAAACGATTGACAATGTATAAAAACCGTCAAGGGTTTTTAGTCCGAGAGTCATCCAGCAAATTCTCGGACCCAACACGGGTAACTTCAGTGTAACAATCAAGCGGCCGTGGGTCACACAGTGTTAATACCTCGAGCATAGTCTGGCGGATTGATTGCCCTTACCAAGGTCACCAACCCTGGCGGATTTCTCTGCCGGAAGGAATCGATAACGGTGTTTACCTTTGTATCGAGAAACTATAGGAAGTCTTCCCCCCTTAAATCTCTCTACGCGACCACTTACTATGGGCATGCACACACTTTGCTACAAAGTTGTCTCTGAGTGATTTGTTTGATTGCTGTGTCTGACTTCGCAGACCTTACTATACAGCAGGAAACTCGATATTTAACCAGTACTGGTGGATTTTCGAACTGTCAATATTGCCGACACATCATTTTATTCCAGTCGGGTTTACCAAAGCAATCTCGAAGCTGTGGTCTTTCTAGACCAGGAATAGCAGAAGGCAATAATATATCACCGGCCGGAAGGCCCGTTTCCCTCAGGTCAGCTTAACCCATCAACCAGTTTCCGCATCACACAGGCCACTCAGGTCCGGCTAGGGATGTCGACTCTACGGCATTGCTTTTGCTCATTACTCTTGTCAAATAGCGGGCAGGAGGCACATAATGTGAGGCCGCACGCAAAAAAAGACAAGGTCGATAATCGACGTGACTTAAAATACTCCCGAAAGCAGTCCACAGAGTTCGGACTCGATGACAATTCAACTTCGGGTTCAGCTCCCAAGTCTTGGCGGCATAGAATTGCGGCGGACGGGCGTCCCCGTCTCCTTTCCTCCCCTCTTCTCTTTCTTTCCCAGAAAGTAGTTCTTTTCCGTGAAGTCCATCAACTTTTGTCACTAACAGCGGCTCACTTTTTAACTCCTCGGTCATTGGTGACAATTTAAGAAAAAACGCGTGGCAGTTCACCTTCGTGGGCTAACGTCATCCTGGGGCAGTCGCAGGTCCGGCTAACTGCGTCATCACTCAATGTAGACTGTTTGCCTCTGTCATAACTTACTATTTCGGGCGGAGTGGGCGTTGTA